CATAGAGGTTATCTCTCAAACAAGCCTACTGGGCTCAATACTTTAACGAATTCAATTTCACCCTGCGATATCTCCCAGGAGGAAGAACTTCCTAGCAGATGCCCTATCCAGACTACCACAATATTACAGTTCAAAGCCGGTGGTAGTTAGACTGGTTATTCCCTCCCAGCAACTAGCAGCTCTGGTCACCCCAGAGTGCAAGCTAAACTAAAATCCACAGTTAGCTGCCTTAACTGTGCCTCTACGAAAAGGCAGCAAGGGAAGATTCCAGGGCTCTGCAAGCCAGTGGCTGACCCCAAAGACCTTTGGAAAGAGATTTCAATAGACTTTATAGTAGAGTTACTCAAGAATTCAGGAATCACCATGATTTGGGTGTTTCATACAGCATGGAGCCCCAGAGAGAATAATTTCAGACCGCAGCATCCAGTTCACTTCATGGTTTTAGCAAGAGTTCTTAAAACTTTTGGGGACCAGTCAGGGGCTTAGCTCCTCTCATCATGTGGAACTAATGGAGGCTGTGAATGTGAAAATGGGGTCTTGGAGCAATATCTCAGGTGTTACATTAATTATCAACAGCCCAGTTAGGCGGACCTCCTTCCTTTCGCTGAGATTGCTAACAACAACTCAGTACACAGTAGCACTGGATTCATCTCCTTTTAAGTGGCCACAAGGTAGGACTTTGTGTCTATCCCTGAATTGCCCCAGGCCACCCCACTGACCGCCTCCTTAAAGGAGTAGATCACCCCACTGCAAAATACCTGGCCGATAGTAAGGAAAGCCCTGGAGAAGCAAGGGAAGCTGACAAGAGATGTGTGAAACCCAAAAAACTTTAAAGTTGGGAATCTATTTATCTACCAAGTACCTACCGTCTAGATAACTTTTCAAAAAAACTGGGCCTGAAATATATTGGGCCTTTCCCCATTAAAAGAATTATTAACCTAGACACTGTTGAGCTCAAGCTTCCAAAAACCCTTAGATGGGTCCATCTGGTATTCCACTACAGCTTATTGAAACTGGAAATCACCTTCTCACTACAGCCAGCAATGAAACTATCTCCTGACCTGATTATGATTGAGGAGCAGCACTTTGAAATCAAAGCCATTTTGGACTCTTGTACAAAGGGAAAACTCAATATCTAGTAGTGTGGAAAGACTATCCACCTTCCAAAACCAAATGGGTAGACTCAAAACATATCAAAGTTTCTAAATTGCTTAAGAGATTCTACAAACAATATCCAGAGTAACCTTGTTGAATAATGACTAAATAGGTTTATATTTCTCTCTTGCTCTCTCCCCTTCCCCTCTCTTTTTTGTTTCCTCTGCAGGACTAACATCTCTGTCAAGGGGGGCAGTATGCCATCATCAGCTCCAAGCCTCATCAGTATCCTTCCATTAATAGCTAAGGTGTGGGGGGGAGCGAGGGAACAAATCGGCAATAAACATGTATTGGAATAGCACTGGAAAATAGGAAGGAGGGGAATGACAGTTGAGGAAGATCAGGGATGCTTTGAACCAGTTTGTGCCAGTCTTCAAGGACAAAGAGATACCAGTGATGCTTGGGAATTGAATGCCAATTGCTCCAAACACTGAAGGTTACCAAAACACATGGACATCCACCTATTGGCTGGAAATGGACTGGTCAAAGGGGTAGAGACAGATTGAGGGGGAAAGCTCCTTTTTTGCATGAGAAATTTAGTTCTAGCCTGACTTTACTGCAAGCAGCACCCTTTCATAAAAGAGTCTATCACTTCAAACCCAACGGAGTTGAGGGTCTTTCTTTCTTAAGGGGCAATCAGGTTGGGGCAGGCCTGACATTTGTATGTTTGCAATGGTGGTGAATATTTGTAGCTTGGGTGTAAAATGAGGTGAAGTTTTATTCTCCAAGCTTGTGGGTTGGTTTCCAGGCTAGGTAACATCTTCAGCGGAATTTAGGGGATGTCAGTGCAACTTATTTTATGTGGAACAAACATCGTATCAGTTAAAAACCAGGATCCATGAACACTGGCTGGCAGTCAAATGCCACGATCCCAAATCCTTAATCTCTATACACACCAGCACCAAATAATACCAATTCGATTGGAGCAACACAAAAATCATCAGCCACAATATCACATGCCACTCTCGGGAGTTCATAGAAGCCTGATACTTCACAAGTTTTTCATATTTTCAACATACATTTGAATTGCCTTTATGCATTTTATATTATTTCTCTGGCATCATATACCAATGATACATAATTTTATAAAAAAAATCTTTTTAAGATCACAAAATAATGTAAATGTTAACACTTTTAACGACATATTTTTTCACTGATCCATCTGTACATTTTAAATTCTTAGCCTACTATATTATACATTCTTTAACTTGTTCTTCCGGTTTCAAATTCAAAGTTTGTATGTTTTAGTAGTTACATGTTCATTATCATGTGGAATAATTGAATCTTTAGAACATATTATACTCTATTGTCCGCTCTATGCAGGAGCATGCCAGGTGCTACCAAGCTAGGGTTTATTTTCTGCTTGGGTCTTATTTTCAGGGAAACAGGGTATTACTTCCACTTTTTATTAAATATCCTGATCATTCCGAATTATGTTATCTTAAATGCTATTATTAGATCAATCTAATTCTCTGTCCACAATTCTCTGTACTGCTCAGTAATTTGCTCCTTACACAGTAGGACTGATTCTAACCCTTTCAGATATTTTAGACTATATATAGAGAGAGAATGTCTTGAGTGTTTTTTGATGTACCTTGTCGGCCCAAATATGGGAAGAATAAATCTTTTTTTTAGAGAGAGAGAATCAAATAAAAATTTGAAGGGTAAAGAAGAATGAAAGAATGTTCATCATCAATGTCCAATTGTACTTCAAGTTCTGTCTTACTTTACTCCATTCCTTTTTATGCATTTTGAAACTTTCTGATAACTGTAAATGAGAAAAGCATTGACAACTATATCCTTATGCTATTAATTGATTTGATTTTAAACTCCCCTATGGTTTTCCAATATTTCACCGTATGTCAATTATTTGCATTTACTGGCTATTTCTCTTTCATAAATTTGTTTTCAGCCACAACTTCAGTTTATATTTATTCCATATTCTCAATATGGCATATCTAATACAATTATTTTTAAAGTGCACATCAATTTTAATTTTATCATACCATAAATATCTATGGCATCCAAACCTCAGGTCAGGATCTTCTAACTGTAAACATCTCGTTTCCCAACAACATCCATTCTTTCATCCAGATCAAATTACAAGTGGTGAAATATAGTTTCAAATCCAGTAAACCCAGTCATCCTGTTTTATATGCATCCTGTAACACTTTATATTTATCTCTTACTTTTTCCCTTGCCATGTAAGTTTAGATATTGTACATCTTTTTGCCATTAAATGATATACATAATTAGTTTAAGTGATTAACAATAAATTAGTTTTCAAGAGAGATAGTTTCTGAAAGAAAAACGTTCTTAGCAAAATATTCATTTTTATCACAGAGATTCTTCCCAATGACAACAATTTTAATTTTTCCTAACCTAACATGTCTTAACATAATTATTTTGAAATACTGTATAATTCAATTATAATTCATATAATTCATGCCATAGTAATATCCAGATATTTTACTGTTTTCTAAATCTTAAAATCAGTTTTCTCCATCACTTCTATTTATTCCGATTTCATATTTTTCTTAATATTTTTATCTTCTGATTATTAAAACCTCAATATTAAAGTTATTTAATTTAAATAAAGTCCATTAATGTTTCTATTCCCTATAGTAGATCTTCCAAAACCAAACCATCTAACTAATTCCTTTACATCATAAATTCTTTCCTAATCTTAACTTTCATAATTGGTGGTTGTGTAAAAAAAAAGCTTTAAAAATTTGAACTCAAATAATATTTTGCTACAAAGAATTTGAAAGATTAATATTCAACTTAAGCTAGAACTTTTCCTTTTAGGACTGATGTTAACTATTGATAACAGTTAGAAAAAAGCCTTGAAAGATTATTTCAGTATATGATTACTGTAACAAGAATACTACAGTATATGCATAGAGATAGAGATTCAATACTACCCACTGTGAAGAAATAGTCAATGAAATTGACATATCTTGTGAGTTAAATTCTTTAATTAGAGAAAAGACACTATCTACATTTATTGGCAACTAAAAACCTCTTGTCAGTTTTTTGCATTAAAAATGAAAAAGCTGAGCCTGTTTTTAGCTTTGATAATTGGACAGAAAATATAGAAAGAAGGGCATCATGGTATCATGTTTAAAATATAGCTATTACTACTGTGAAGAATACTGTAAGGCACTTCTTTGTATCTTTTTCTCTTTTTCTTTTCTTTAATTTTATTTTTTTGCATTTTTCTTTCTGTTTGACATCTTTCTTTTTCATTTTTCTTCCTTTATGTTAGTTTGTATTAGTTTTTGTCTTTCTTTATATACATTTTAATAAAACTTTTTCAGGACCCACCAAATTCTTTTCTCTTCCCCCCCCCCCCACTATTGTCAAACTCCTGGAGCATAATATTTATCTCAACTGACTCAATTTTGTCTCATCTGAACTACTTTTGATTCCATCTAGTTTGGCCTTCTTCCATGTCCTCTCTGTTGAAATATACCTGATGAAAATATGCAATGATATATCTTTACTCAGCTATGTTTCTTATTAGCTGTTTTTACATATATTATTCCAATCATTTGAATCCTTCCTCAAAAACTATGACTTGTTTTCCTTTTTCTCTTCACTATTTCTATACTTTTATATACTAACACATCTTTTTCTATGATCAGCATAGCTATCCTCTATTGAGCACGTCCATAAATTAAGATGCATTTGCTGCTTACTTGGCACAAATCAAGTAGCACAAAGGTGGCTATGGTATATATGGTAATATAAAGCACTGGATTATTGCCTTTCCAGTCTCCCATTTTATGGTTCAGGAAGGAGTCTAGTTTTGGACTTGACAAATGGTAAAAGAGTTTACAAACCCATTTTTCTTTTGTGATCTTCACCAAGTAGCTCTACTGAATGAGTTTTGTTCTTGATAGTCACTTTGCTTGATAATACAGTGCTTCCCTTGCTTTTTCCTAGTTGATTTTGTGATATGTTGCCAGATGGATGCCTTTTAACAGGTGGAACAGAGCACTGTGGAGTGTGAACTCCCAAAAGATTTCTTTCCGTCTCTGGAAAATTCTGTTGCTGCATATGGATCTTAGTAGCTTTGCAATTCTGCATTTCTTTCTGCTGTTCTGAGGCTTTTCTTTTATTTTCTTCTTCTCGTTTCCTACAGTCAATATTTATAATATTTAAGAATTAATGGATTATAAGAGTTATTTTGAATTTCTCACTGAAAAGTTCTTAAAATGTTAGAAATTGTTTTAAAAGATCAAAACCACATATTACTTGTACCCTTTTTTTGCTAATCACAGATTATTCACGTAAAACAACCTAAGGACCTAATCCAATCAAATTAAGAATCCTTACATATCTCATTGATGTCATTGGATATTTAACTACATATTTAATATAAAATATTTGGCATATTGATTTAGATTGAGAAAATTCTGTACATTATCATAAACTAAGAACTTAGATCTTAGTTTAAAAAATCTGCTTCTCATATAAAATCCCTAGGTTTTTAAATAAATAATTAAAACATTAAGTTTAAATATATTAAAACATAGTACACAGAAAATAAAATAAGCAATAGAATAAATAATGAAGCAGCAATAAAAAGCTTAAAAATATCATAACAGCAGATCAAGTAATCAGTTCCAGATGAAGAAAAGGTAATTCAAGTGCAAAGATCACACCTATAACAGGCATTGAATCTTGCTTTATATATATAAAGCAGTTTTTCTAATTAATGTTTTGGTTACAATCCAAAGGTTTGCCTTTGAAACTTATTCAGGAACAAAAATTAATGAAAATAGGGCACATCATTGTATATTTACTATACACTGTGCAAAGTGTAGATATGGTTCACTGCAGTAATGAAAGTATTGGTTTAAGTCATTTCTTGATTACAGACCTCACTGTACCTTACTTTACAGCAGTGGAAGCCGCACCCACCCCATTGCCGGCAATGGCAAAACCGGCTCGATAAGTTCGCGACGTCATGTGACGTCATGAGTTTGACATTTGTTCCTAGAGATTAAAATTAAGGTAAAACTCTACATAAACTATACACAGAGGAAAAAGGATATAAATACAATAAATACATTGTGCTTTCTTTCTCTTTAGTAAAATATAAATTACTATATATATATATTTCTGTTTGAGTACTAAGAATATTTGAAAGATTATCTTTTCCAATAAGGATTAGCAGCCTATGTATTGCATTCACAACAAAAGCCCAATTCTTTGTGAAAACATGAGGCAACCATAGTTCTCTTGCAGCACCTTGATTCTGAAGACCAGATTGTTTAGTTCCCTTCCATCCTTTAAAGAGACATTTTTATCTCTTTAAATTTAATTCGCCCCACAATAATATGACAGCCTTCTCCATGCAGTCAATTTGTTGCAAGCAGAAATCCAATACAAGCCCAAATACAAAATATTATTTTTTTAAAAAAATGAAAGTAAACAAATAAAACCTGCAAAGACAAAACAATATGTTACATAATGGACAGTTGGTAAATGTCAGATCAGAATATTCTCTGTCATTTTAAACTTTTAAGTGTTGCAACATGATTTGTGACTGTTGACACACAACAGACTATATAGCATGCCTTCATTGATTCCTCTGTTTCAGAAACAATCCTGAAATGTGCTGTTTCAATGAGATGTGACAGGAAAAGCCCTAATTTTAACTGTTGTTGCTATCTTGTCATGCATTCTCTTCAGAAACAGCTAATTTAATCTCAGAGCATGAAAAGCTACAAAGTGAGTTGCAAATAGCACTTTGGAAAGCTAAATCATTCAGCCTTTGGCATTGAAAAATAGCTTATTTAAAAATTTTGCAATAATATTATTACTTTATCATATATATTATGTGATATTTTTCCTGTACATGGTATAAATACTTCAGTTTGACTTTGGCATATTAAGTCAAATGTATTCTTATTAAGCCAAAAAATAAATCAGATAAGTAAAATTCATTTAAACATAAGAAAAATCTATGAAATGGGCTACAGGACTCAGGACTGTTAGCTGAGCAACCAGGCAAGCAGATAAGAACTAGTCCAAGGTATTTTACCTGTCACAAATATACAAAACTTGAAATTAAAGACATAATGATCTGTTATTATAGATCAAGTCCAATAAGAAGAGAATATTTGAAACAAATATCACATTTTTGGAAAGAATAACATCCAGAATCAGAAATAACAGAACAGTAGTTAGCAGATCAACACTAATTTATAATATAAAATAAAGTATTCACAAAAGCTGAATTGGAAGAATTGCAAAAATTTACTCTGGTCATATAAATCAAAAATTTGCCAGAAGTAACCCAGACTGTAAGGACCCACCCCCTTTGCATCTTAAGAAGACAGAACTCTTGGAATAATTCTTCCAACAGGAATCCTTTATTAAGAGAAAATGGTTGCAGGCGTTCTAGACAGGACTTGGGGTCCAAGCTCTCAACTCAAGGGGTTCCCCAGTAGTCCCACCCAATCACCCCCCTTTTCCAGTGACAGTTTCAGGCATCACAATCCCACCCCTTTTTTCTTTTCTGCCGGCTGGATGGAGACTTCAGAGAAAACTACATGAAAGGTAAATAGCCTCCTTTGTTATAATAAGGCCTTTTGGTGCTAACCACATTCAATCCCTTTGAAGTGGTACCAAAGGAAGTGAGGGCCATAAAGCCCCTTTGTTCACCCCCTTCTCTTTCTTTATGACAGAATCCAGAGAGGGCAGAAATGGGGTTTTCTATAATTGATAACTGGAGATGAAGTATAATTGGATTCTGACATCCGGCCCCCTTAAAAATAAGAGAGATCCACCTGAAAGAAAACAAAACAGGTATAAAAATTAGTCAGCCTTGTTAGGATACTCTGTGTGAAACTTCTTCAATAGCTTCGGGGCTCTGACATGACGTTTATGGACCCACTCGTTTTGTGAGGGAGGGAGGTGTTTCCAGGCAACCAGGTACTGAGTTGCTCCATGATATCTCCTAGTGCTTTTCTAACTATTGGCCAGGTGTTTTGTAGTTTTTCCATCCATTCTTTCAGTGAAGGGATCGTTGGTTCGTTTGGGGTTAACTCTGGCATGGGGTTGAAACTTTGACCGGTGGCTATTTGAAAAGGAGTGTAACCTGTGCTGGAGTGGACTGCATTATTGTAGGCAACTTCTGCAAAAGGGAGTAAGTCCACCCACTCGGTCTGCTGGAAACTAAGAAAACATCTTAAATATTGCTTAAGTACAGAGTTCATTTTTTCAGCCCCCCCATTTCCTTGTGGGTGGTGGTTAGATGTCAGTCCCTGAGTGGTTCCTAAGAGGGATAAAAATTCCTTCCAAAATGCAGACGTAAATTGCACCCCCGTCAGAGATGATGCGTTGGGGTGCCCCATGCAATCTGTAAATGTGCTGGATGAAAAGTTTTGCTAAGGCTTTTGCAGTGGGAAACTTTTGGCAAGGGATAAAGTGCACCTGTTTGGAAAACAACTCCGTGACCGTCCAGACCACAGTATTCCCATTGCTTTCTGGCAATTCCACTATAAAATCCATGGCTATTTCTCTCCAGGGGGCTTGCCACTATTTGCAATAGTCCTGGCAATTTCCCTTGCAACCTCTTTGCAGTGGCACATTTTGGACAACTGGCCACATAACTTTCTATGTCCTTTTTCATGGATGGCCACCAAAATTGCCGTTTAATTAAATGTAAAGTTTTTACAAATCCAAAATGCCCTGCTGATTTTGTGTCATGGCAAAGCTGCATGAAAGTGACTCTTTGGGTTGTTGGTATATATAACTTTTCCCCTACCCAAGGCAACCCGTCTCTCATTGTGCACACATTTTTGTTTTTCTGGAACCATTCATCTGTTTCCAAACTTTTTCTGAATTCAATTCCAGTTTGGCTGTCCAGTTGTGGTTTTAATTTGGCTTGGATTCTTGTGGTTACTGGTGCTGCCAGTTGTGACTCTGCCATTATTGGTCTAGAGTCTGTGGTTCGTGTGCTGTTATATTGGGGCATGCGAGTTCTTTCTCCCTGGTAAATGTTTGAACTTAAATTGGAACTGGTGAAAATGCTGGGACCAGCGGGCTTGTTTGGGATTGAGTTTCCTGGACTTTTTCAGGGCTTCCAAATTTTTCTGATCAGTCCACACCTGGAAGGGGATTTTGTTGCCTCCCAGGAACTGTCGCCACATGAGTAATGCCCAACGTATCCCATAAGCCTCCTTCTCCCATACAGGCCAGCGCTGTTCTGTTTCTGTGAGTTTCTTGGATGTATATGCACAGGGTTGTAATACTCCATCATCATTTTCTTGTAATAGAACAGCCCCCACTGCCACATCACTTGCATCTGCCTGTATTATGAAGGGCTTCTCCATGTCTGGGTGCCCTAGTACTGGTTCGGCAGAAAAAAGTCTCTTTAGTCTCTCAAATGCTGCTTGGCATTCCATTGTCCATGTTAGTGGCTGGCTAGGTTTTACTGAGGATGCTCCCTTCATTTTTAGTAAGTTAGTGAGGGGCAAGGCTATCTGGGCAAATGAGGGGATGAATTGGCGGTAAAAGTTTGCAATGCCCAGGAAACTTTGTAGTTGCTTTCTTGTGCGGGGTGGTGCACAATCTAATACTGCTTTGACCTTCTCTGGGTCCATTTCTTAGCCATGTGGGGATATGCGATAACCTAGGTAGTCTATCCTTTCCTGGTGGAATTCACATTTTGAGAGTTTGGCATATAGGTGGGCGGCTCGCAGCTTCTTTAAAACCGCTCTGACAAGGTTGACATGTTCCTCTTTTGTTTCGGTGAAGATAAGAATGTTGTCCAAGTAAACCAGGACCCCCTTAAACAGGTGCTCCCTTAGAACGTCATTGATTAATTGCATAAAGACTGCAGGGGCCCCTTGTAATCCAAATGGCAAGACTTTGAATTGATAGCACCCCATGGGGCAGTTAAATGCAGTCTTCCATTCGTCTCCTTCCTTAATTCTCATGCGATAGTAAGCTTCCCTTAGGTTTAGTTTAGAAATTTTTTTCCCTTTCGATAGGTGTGACAGCATGTCTTTCATGAGGGGCAGAGGGTATAGGTTGCTTTCACTGATTGTATTCAGGGCCCTATAATCCACGCATAAACGTAAAGAGCCATCCTTCTTCTCTCTAAAAAGGACCGGGGCAGCC